TTTTGCCCCGAATCGCACAAACTTATTTTATTCTTCGATTAAAATTTCCCTGGTTGGTTAGTATTCCAGCATGAATTTTTAAAATTTACTTTGAAATTAAACCAGCAATTGTAATTGGTCGTTAGCAATGGTGGCCATTTAATGGAGGTGATGAGAATACGAGAAGAGAACATCAAGCATAATTTTGCTACTTGCAATGAAGTTAGCATACTCAGTCGGTTTTGCAGCGAGATGTTCAATGTTTTTCATTACAATTAAATAAACAACATACAGTAAAGCTTATATTATCCTTAATTTCTACACAATAAGGAAACTTTTCTGCGCATTTGCATTTCAAGAATAAGAATCCAAGATCATTCAACTCCTAGTAATTCAACTCTTTTCATACCACTGATTGTGACAAGCAGGTCATTAACACAATTTCCATCTCCCTGTTGGCGTTTCTTCCCCATCAAAAAATATTGCTCTAGTGCAGACAGATACATTTTACAGATACATTTCCATTCTAGCGGCGTCTTTATCTTCTGCCAAAGGTGTGTGTGTGTGTGTGTGTGTGTGTGTGTGAGTGCGCGCGCGGGAGGGGGGCAGGTACCTGCAAGCGGTGCGCCCCTATCGCAGGATTTACGCATCACCGGCACCCAATGCGTAGCGCGCCGAACCCGCTCCTCCTCCCTCTCCCTCCATCTTTGCAGCGCACATTCAAGCGACACGCACCATCAAAAGCATAAAACGTAAAGCGTTTATAAATCCCACGTTGACTTCATTTCTTAAAATACGGGGAAATTCGTACGGAGGGAAAATATTATAAGTGCCCTCTACAGTTGTCACTTAACTCGTACGTATACGTTAAGTGTAATTTGAAATAAAGGACATTTTTTTCTTAATCCATATATTAAGAAAAAATACGAGGTTTCTTGAATATCCGCTACAGTTCTTAAACTAATGGAGCTACAGAAATGCGCAGACTTTTTCCTACTAGCTAATTTCCTATTCGTTTGGGTAACTAAAGGATAACCAGGACCTTTCGTGGTATCTCTGAAGTGTAGTGAAGACCTTCGTGTACCACAAAGACCTTTGTTGCAAAGACGTATCTCGATCATTTACACTTTTGCCCAAAATATTCCTTGCCACACCTCGGGGCTTGTACCACTACTCTAGCTGTGAGATCCAGTTCCTTAATTGAACACACAGTTGCCTGTCAAGCCAAGAGATGATGAAAGGATTATTGTCAGGACTTAACGCAAGCCTCAAACACAACTGACAACACAGTTTTCCGGTGTCAGGGAACCCCAAAAGAGTTTCCGTTGAAATTTCGAAAGCCACGTACATTGATCTACACTACGTACATTGCTCCGTATATATGAACTTACGAGAAAGTAATAATCATGTATACTCCAACTCCTTAATTACTTAACACTAATAAGTTACATAATTTTTTATTATGCAACGTTAAATAATTCTCCGAAACTTATAACTAAATCCAATTCAAAAGGAAAACTCCGTGAATTGTATCAAAATACTACTTTCAGAAAACACAGGCTTTATACACATTTAACCGCAATCGTCTTACGAATTTTAATTCAATTGTTTCTTGCGTCTTCCTTAATTAATTCATACGACACGAAACAGAATAGAACGGTCCTGTTTCAAATGAAATCTTTTAACTGCCGAAATGCTACTAACAAAGTACGGTACGTTTTTAACGTAATTAATTCATTAGGAAGGTTCTCTTCTTACAACTGCGAAAAGTTTTCGACCGCTGCATTAACTTCGCCCGCGAAGTTGCCAACTTTTGCAAAAGATACCGCGCTTTGCCAGGCTACCTCAGGGCTGTTACCAGCAAAGAAACACAACAGCGCGCAACTGCACATAAACAAGTTTTTAGACAAGAGACTAGTAAAATCGGTTACTTTCACGGCATATTCAGCTGCTAAAAATGAGATGATGCTCAAATAAAACTGAGAATGAACAAAACTTTTGTCTGATCAGCTACAACTGATCTTAATGTAAAATGGTACCCAATTAATTGATATATATTCTTGAATTAAAATAAAAGGAAAGTTAGTAAGGCTGTCTAAAAAGAAAATAATACATGGCGCATGGTAAAGGTGATTTTATTTTGTTCGTAGGATTACCCCATTCTGTCAGTGGGCCCCATGGAGAACCATTCCTACTCGCAAAACAAACTCCACCACTAGTATCATAAATAGATATTTATTTCACTAGCTGCAGTTACGCGAAAAGACTGGAACGTGATGCTGAAACATTAAATAGAGAGCCAGTGATGCGTTAATAACGTAGTAAAAAAATCAACAAGCAATTTACCTTCACAATGCGAGTGGAAAAAATCAAGTAACATGCGCTAACGCGAAGAAAAACGGTTTGCTACGGCTATTTCATTTATGTGCCGTCAGCCCTAGTAACTCCTTGCACAAGAAATGTGCAAGAAATTTAGTAGTACAGTTAATTTCATACTGATATAACACTCCTCATATCTACACTAAATAAGTGAAGACTCGCCAGGCAAAAGAATAAAAAATGAATATCAATCTTATACACCAAATACAAACAAAAACAGATTATTTATTGTAAACTTCAAAATATTCCAGTACATTTTCCAGTAGCGAGTGCACAAAGCAACCGATACTAGCCCCAGTGCACACAGCCGACTGCGTACTGAAGTATGTGATGAGCAACGTCAGGGGGTTATGATTAATAGCATCCATGTCCCAAACGAGAGCATCTCTACCACGCGAGCTCGGGCGTGCAAAACTCGCAGGCTGATGCGTCATGAGAAAAACAACGAAGGAAACCTACGAAATGAAGTTTCCAAGGAAATGGAGCGAAAACTGGTGCAATTATACATCTGATGTCAGTAGGGGACGTCGTAACTTATTAACAGACTCGTTTACGAAAGGACGAGAAAAAAAAAGTTGGGAGTATACTGGATCCATGATATTGAAACAAGTTTCCTTGTTACAGTATCATGGATCTGGTAGACGCCAACGGCTCTTGTTTTTCGGTCCTCGTACATGTTTTCGAGCTCGGAGTCTTGTTATAATATTGCAACCTATTTCCCATTTACAACGATTTGTATACACATGATATTCCTAGTCAGGTTAAATTCTCCTCAAGTAACTGCCTTTGCACTTTTGTTAATGATAAATTCATTACATAACTTTTCATTTAATAGTCGTTTAATCTCTCACAATGAAGTTTCCTCAACAATAATGATCAGGTAGTATTGTATCAGTTCATAAAAATAATGTTCTCTACTCTAATTATGTGTAAGTCTCTAACTGGATGGTTGCGGATTGTTTTGCACTAACAGTCATTATGAGATAGCTTCATTACCATACAAGTAGTTGACCTTTCACAAACCAAGCACTTAATTAATCATTTGTCATCATTCTAACAAATATTTCTTTCTATCGAGTTGATCTGAGGAGGAAGTGATAGTAAATTTCAGTGACAAAGCAAAATACTAAAATGTTGAACAGAGAACAATCAAATATGGTCAGATGATAAGAAAGGCAGAAATTATAACTATATTCAATTTCCATTAGTTTTTAAAATGTAGGTATTAAATGCCACTCGAAGAATTGAATATTAATGCACTCATATGAAGTTTAAGACAGTCACTCATTCCTCACTCATGTAATAGTATACTTCATTTGCTTGTATTAACACCCATTGCTGTTTCATAATACACTATTATACTATCATAATTCCACCTCCAATATTCTCTCATAAGATATCTTCATTATTATTCTCTAATATTCTAACACTGTCTTGCAGTGTTGAGAGTATTAGAGTAGGCTGCAGAGCTAGCCACTCTACAATATTTCTTCTGGAGCAAAATTGAACCATTTAATTTGAAAAAAATATTTTTAAATTTGCCATTGCAGAATGCGATGATCATTGAAAGTGCAGATGAACTACAAAACTGAGATGCCAAATGCAAGATCTGTAAGTCAGTTGATTTTGCAGTGTGTAATGCTAATACCAAAATAGTAATTAGCATAAAGTTACAACTGAAATATAACCATGAAAACTTTTAAAGACGTTTAACCTGTTAAAAATACTTCATTGTTTTAAATATTCAAAAATAAATTTTATAGTCAGCAGAAAATGTATCTAATTTACAAGACAACAATTAAATGATTTGAAGCAAATTGCTCAACTGCAGATGCAACTTTCTAAGTAAGAACACACGCTATTGCCTGGAAAAATATCTTTAGACCGATACAAACATGAAAACTAATTTGCAATTTTAGAATGATTAGGTTCAAACAAAGTCTTATCATATCATGCTGATGACCACACTGAGGCCTAAAAAAGTATTTTGGACATTTATACAAAAAAAAAAAAAAATTTCAATAGCTTTCAAACCTGGTGAAACTAGTATTTCATATCAACCAAAAACATACCTCTGAAAACTGGTTACTGGAATGTCTCTTCAATCTTGTTGCCATATATTACACGTTGACAAAGAATGAAGCAACAATAAAAGCATATAGACGTCACACAAACATGCCTTAAGGCAGAGTACTTAGAAACAATTTTTCTGCATAAACAGGATACAATCCAGTCCACTTCAGAATTGCATTTTGTGTCCTTTTCAACTACTTTTTTAACATGCATATACTAACTAATAAAATTAATTTCCCTGGAAGTGTTACTAGTAATATGTGTAACAAAAATTGATAAGACAATCTTTGTTAGTGCATGGCTGTGGGATCTAAATAATTTCTATTCCTATTATATCTTTTCCTACTTTCTCACTTAAATTTTTAAATATTTCATAATTTACTATCCAGAAATAATTTCTAGATACAGACATGCTGGCATTTATTATACACCCATCTATCTCTCAAAAATAATTTAGAGTTGTAGTATATGCATGTTTGTTTGTACTTCAAGTCAATCATACCAATGACAGTGATCCACAAACAATGATGATTTCTCAAAATAATTCATTGAAATATAATTGTAGTATTCAGCAACAGAAAATACAGAAAGAGAAGAGTGCAAGCAATATACTATCATGCCAAATGTTTCTGCTTTTTCAGCACATGCTACACTAAAATCGAAATACGCTTCACAAAATGTACTGAGGCCATTTCCAAACATTACCATAAAATAAATTCTAAAATTACAGATAATTTGTTAACTTATGAATGAAAAGACTACATTAGTCAACTGAATTATTATAAAATGTTACACAATTTATAAATGAACTGACAAAAATAATTTTCAAAAGAAATAAACAATAATAATATAATGAATATAAGAGAAGTACCAAAATACCATCTACATTAATTACTACTTCTAAAAAGAAAAATCTAATATTCTGAAGAGTCGATTGAATACTAAATTAAGCTGTACAGTGCTCGTGCTACTACATGAATAATTTAGCGACTGCTGAATTATTTTCTTAAAAGCAAATTAAAATTCATTCGACATATTTTTTGTTAAAATTGAAACTGTAGATAAAATACAAGTACATAAAATAACACTCGCAAACACTGAAATGAGAGCTGTGCAGACACATGAGAGATTTAGAAGAGAACACCCACCATGTACAATATCAAGATCCTGATAATATGTACCATGCAAAAGTATGCACCACAAAACATTATAATAAACTTTCTCCGTATCACATTTAACACTTTAAAATCAAATTACTGAGGAACATTAATGGACTGCTAGATGGCAGAGATTAATGCATAAAACATCCCGTTCAGTCAGTCTCTCTCATTATCTTCTGATGCAGGATTAAATTACCTAAGCATTTATCAGATTATATTCATTGTTTTCATTATTGCACCAAGAGTATATTTATCTTGTTTGGTATTTAGTATTAACATTTACATTTCTTCAGGTAATGTTGGATGATCAACACATAGTTATCAATTTATGTGCAAAAAAATTAAAAATAAAGCACCACACCAGGAAAGGGAAAGAAAGGCACAGCTACAAATAATGTATGTATATAAAAAAACTACTACTGCAATCCACAAATTAAGCACTTATGAAGCCCACCCACCGCAACATAAAATACAGGAGCACTGCACCACAAATGTCATGAGGGAAGCAACGTGCTAAGACAGGAACAGAAGAAGCAGCAAGAAAGGCTTAAAAATCACAGAAACATTTCCAATGAAGTTCAATGACAAAGAAATATGAAATATTTACATACTGAACCACTGAATACCAATTTTGAAAATGCAAGAGCCAAATAGTCAGAGACTACTCTTTCTAGGTATTAGATGGTAATCATCACTGTCAGTGGAACTGATTGAAATAGATAATTTTCAACCTGCCAGGGCTTAACATCTATGGAATTGAAGCAGAGATCCTATTACAGACCTCAATGGAGTTGACTGGAGGGGATAGTATTTGAAAAAATGCCAAACTACCGTGATTGAAAATTTTATTTAAGACTCAAATAAAATTTTACAAGTGTACGTACATCAACAAAATTGTTCTTACTGCATTCTTATTCTCTTTAACATAAGTAGCAAATAAAGCTAGGAAAGGTAATTTTTGTGTGTCATTTTCATAGGATTCATTCAACATAAAAGATAAGTCCCAAAGCTCCACTTAGATTAAAAGGTTTTCTGTGATTGAAGTTTTAAGATTTTTAAAAAATTACTACAAAGTCAACAAAGGTCTACAAATAATATATAATATTAGTATTTAAAATTGCAGGAGTGAGCAATGCAAGCTTAACTCAACAGTAATGCCTATTTAAAACATCTACTGTTGCATGCTTCCGTGTCACCTGAAGAAATCTACCAGAATAAATTGTATTTCAAACAGAGTTTGAGAGAGGTCCTGACCAGGGATGCCATGAAAATGAAACATTGCACGTATACAATTTTGAGATTCTTTCCTATCAAATTCTACAAGCAAAATTCATCAAAATTCAAAATCCATCTATTGAGATTTTGATATGAGAAGTGTCATAAAAAGATTTGATTTGTCACTTGTATAATGTGTCCAAAAACTAAGAGAAATTTATAATTCTCCTCACTGAATTTGATATTAAAATTATGAAGTTGAATATTCTTAAAATTGCTTAGTCATGAAATTTTGGAATTATAAAAGCTTAGTCTGGAAAAAATTAATATGAAACAATATCACAGAATTTCAATAAAATATAACGTTACATCATACTAAATGTAACACGAGAACATTGAGCATCTTATTCCATGAGAACATTCACAGATTTAAGCAACAACCACTGCCACAACTGGCATCCCTAAGCCACTGGTATCTCGTGACAAAGACCTAATCACAAAGATCATACACCAAGTGCCAACCATAAAGATAAGATGGTGTATGGAATGTATAAATGCAATTATTCTATGAAACAATGAATTTCTAATTGGTCCAATACAAAGAATACTGTTTGGTGAGCAACACAGTAATGCAGACAATAGCTTTGTACTTAATTTTAACTTAGTTAATTAAATTTAAAATATTATAAATAGTGGTTTCAAATTTCAGATATTGAAAATTAGGAATTATTTGAATGAAGATAAAATAGTTAAGTACATATTGTACCACATTAAGAATAAGATAGGAACAAGTACATGCAACAGCCTCTACACAAGGCCTGAAGTGCATTTGACAGTGAATCATTATCGGAAGGAAGGACAATATGAATTTTTCATGACAATTTGATAACAAATTTCAATTTCAAACTTTTTGTAAGTTAGCATTAGCACACATCTCAGTCCTTCCTTCACATAAAACCACCATAAAGAAGATAAAATAGAACAGTTAATTATATTTATACAGTTCAGTGCTAGGAGTTAAAACAGGGTAAACGTGGACCAGTGTCTCTAGAGAACAATAACAGTCTTCTTAGCTGCCTATTGCTTCGCACTCACTCCTGCCAAGTCCTTCTTAAAACAAATATTGTTTCTTTCAGTTGAGTTACAACTAGTTCTCTGCTTGTGCAACGTTATTAAATAATTGAAATACAAACATGTACATAAACTTAAATATGTGACCTACTGTTGATAAATAGAGAATGTAAGCAGTTTACATTACTACAATCTAGAAAAGAAATCTTAAAATACATAAATATGAAAATTAACTCTTGAATGTTTTGTACATGTACAATGTAAAAATATTGAAAATGGTAACATATGCACAAAAATGGTAAAAGTGCAACATATCTACATGCAAATATATCTTCAGAGAATGCAATTAATAAATAAACGATAACTAAGAGACACACTGGCTCCAGTTTAAGCCTGTTCAATGAGCAAAGTCAAACCACAGTTCCCTATATTAAATTGAAAATAATTTTGATTTTTGTAAACTCATAAGAACGTTTTCCAAGAGTAGATAATATATTGGTCATGATTTCTTTCACCTACACCCCATTACTAACCCAGATAAAATATATTTGTGAAAGAAAAAAGATACATCAATAAATAAATAAATATAAGAAATTCCCAAACTCCTAGAGTACCGTTCTGTATAAATATTCCAACATCAAAATACATTAATAAAAACGAATACCTCTGACTTTGTTACATTTGGTTCAAGACCTTAAAAACTTTCAGACTTAACAAGCCCTCCCTGTGTCGGTGACCCCCCTTCATTCCCATCCCCTCCAGCGTGTTCTCGCTGGTGCACATCTGAGTAATATTCCACATGGTGGGTGGCAGGCGAAGCAGCTGTATGGTTGGTTGTATGAGGTGGAGAATTAGGAGTGTAATCCTCGCTTACCTGACTGTGGGAAACACTGTCTGGTATCGGCAGAGGTTTGGCCACTCCAATCCTCACAACACCCTTGGGAGCACCCTTCAAAGCTTGCACTGCTTGATCCAAGGATGCATTTTCTAGGCCCGTGTCGTTCACGAAGAGCAAGCGATCTCCAGGGATGAGACGACCATCCATTTGTGCGACGCCACCAGGAACCAGACTCCGAATAACAATCACCGTTTCGTTGGGATTCATAGGATCCTGTAATCACCCAGAGTGGTGTCAAAAGGGATCTATTAGATAATTCAAAGGTACCTCTATCATGATAAAGTAGTAAATGCAAAACGCAAGTTATATTTTTGATAACCAGTAAGTGTAGGACTATTAAAATTCATTTACTACTATTGCATGTATTAATACTTGATATTTAAAATATTTATCATGATAGAACAATACAATTTAAAAAAAGGACACTGAATGCACAACAATTTTCAATAAGAAAAATTAAGATCACAATCTCAATGTTTTTATACATTTAATTAATAATCACTTCCAACATTACATTTCTTTTACTAAATGCACAATAAAAGGAAACAGTTCAAATGTGCAGTAATAATGATAGGAACAAGGCAAACATTTTTCACATAATTAAAACCATCACCCGGGAGAAGGTACTGGTAGTTGCAAAGAAACTGAAAAGCAGGAGTGTAATAATTTACAAAGAAGTATGTGCTAGGCAAAACAGTGGATAACAGAAGTCAGAAGAGAACCATCACCACCATTCAACGGAATAAGAAGTGTACAGTATGGAAAATATTACCTCGCTTTTTTTTTTAACAACTTTTCTACACTCAGATCTCTGTTTGCACAAGATTAAAAAGATATATGTTCAAGATTACAATTTTTATTAGTTATTATAAGTTTTGTTGAAGCCATGCAAACTACATAGACATTTTACTGAACCAATTTTGAATTTTTGTATTTCTCATAAATCTTTTTGAATCTTTACAAAGACACATTCATTAAACCAGATTGAGAAATCACAAATCCACATTAATCATCACTGATAACAGTACTGGCAACAAAATAACATTTGTAGAATATTTCATGATCACAAAAATTTTCTACCACAAATTTAAGAAACACCTCTGTTTCTTACAATGCAGAACAGCAACCACAAAATTCAGTTCTAATGATTTTAAACACATAGAGACAAATATATATATTTAGAGACAACTATAACAGTGAGAAACATATCACACCTAATGTCTTAGAGAAAACAGTGCAATAGCACACACTCAAGAGTTAATTTACAAATTAAAACAGGGGTATTTTTTATTTGTGGCTAATGCATTAATAAGTAGTAAACACGAAAGCTCTAGAACTTTATAATGTAATGCAACACAGGAATGTTGAGAATTTCCCAACATTACCAAGTGTAAGATGTCATATGCCATCAAACCATTTTATTTTAAATACTCTGACATTACCTGTAAATAAGCTCAACAATATTAAATGCACAGGAATAATTATTTTATGATGATTCTTTCAATTTTTTAAATTATTCAGGAAATAACATAATTCAACCTTCACTCATTTCAATTCTTACCGATTTAATTAAAGTCGATGAATATCGTATATGAAAAACCATGTGAGAGAGAAATATTATTGGAGGCATTTCACTGAAACACAAAGTAAGATAGCAAAATAATCTACATAAATTATGGTCGAACAATAAAATTCTCTCAACATAAAATTGATATTGATTGATGGAAGTATCTTCTACAAAGCTTATAGCTCTTTTCCAGTTTAAATTTTAATCTACAATAACACACTCAGGTGAGTTGAGTACTTGTGACATGATCACTTGGTTAGAGCATAAATACCAGAAATTACAAGCCTATTATCTAAAGAATCTGAGATGATGACAAAGTAATCATCACTGAAAATTCTGTAAAATGTTTTGTACATAGAATGAGAGGGTGCCAACAAGGTGTAGAAGTACATAACTTGTTTAAAGAGCAATTCATTTCTGACAACTGAATTACCTTTCCAATTATCATATTCTGAATGCAAAAAGAGTGCCATAAATTTCAAGTTATTTAAATTAAGGCCTTTAAAATTCTAAAGCTCTTTATACTCTAGCATTTTTCTATTCATTAATCGAGCGATAATTTAATTTCTGTTATCACTAGAATTATTATTCATAGCAAATTCTTGACATATCGTTAAGTCAATCCCTTAATATAGAAAAACTTTAATCATTACATTATAAATCCATCAACTGAAATGTGAGAAATTCATTATGGCAAATTACAAGCAAATGGTACAATGTCTCTGGAGAGAAAAAAAATCTACCTTGAATTATCTACATCGAATTACATATCTTTAAATTACTTTTGTCAATTTAAGCATCAAATCAAAATTAATATTTTTTATCTATTTTTCTTTTACAATTAAACTGAAAACATTCACTTTAAAAAACTACAATTTTGTCATCTAATTCTTTCCATTTCTAATTTGTAACAATTGGTAATAAAAATGATCTTATTGGAGATTCTCCTTAGTGCAATAGGAAATACCTCTCCTTTAAAAAGCAAAATAAACTTGTAAAAACTTGTAAAATTTCAACTACCTAAAAGAATTATATTCAAGAAATTGTTGTACATAATTTATTTTAATGGAAGCAAACTAAATTTTCTAAATATTTATCCTCTCGAAGTTTAAAATTAAACTAGTACTTTCACATATTATTTGGTCTTCGATATCCTTAAGGTCATTTAAAAAGAAAATTGCAAGTCAGAAATTAATGTGTCAATTATATTGAGTCAGCACATTCATTTTCACAAGTCAAAGAACTTTCAATACCACACTCACTGTGCTCTCATGTAATTTGATGAGAAACTGAAATAAATCAGTGGGGCTTAATTAGAATGTTATTTTTGTTTTCAGGCATCTTTATAGAAATACAAATATTAAGTATTCACTTTCTTTCAATAATAATGAATGACAATTACACAAGTCAATACAAGCAACCTACATTCCTCTTGAAGAGAGTGCAAAAATCATGTGCAAATTGGTCTTGTGTAATCAATAACTCATAGGGCTAACAAAGATTCAATGCTATCAGAGAACTGAGCTGTTGGGCACACCCTTCCACTAAAATTAAATTTCTTGACAACTATAATCAAATCTCTATGACATCTGAATTTACAAATCATAAATGAAGGTAAAATCTAAAACTTAAATAATACACATCGAACACAGATACTACTATACGATGACATAACAGACACAACAAACATTTATAAAGATTTCCAGAGCATGTTTTGGAAATATATAATGAACAATGATTCAACATTAAGAGAGATATACCTGTCTCCACATTACCTTCAAAGCACAAAGTTAAAACCAGCACTGCAAGTTGGTACACCCACATTTTAAAAAGCAGTCTTACTACTGAAAAAACCACTTCCACAAAACAAATGAAGAGATGTTATTATGTTTGAACATATTGACTACTGCCACCATCACAACTAGAATGTTGCTCAATAACATTTTAGTAGTGAAAACTGAATTATAAATATTTTCATGACAGGAAGGTATGAGGCAATAAAAATAAAACAAATAATACTTGGGAAATTGTTAATTGGTCATCATATCCCAAAGAAACAAAGTAGTGAGGCTGGAACAAATTAGTAAAGAGAAAGATGATAAAACATAAAGAGGGCATCTAAAAGAGTGTTCTCAGGGATCACCTCCAGTTCTCTACAGCCAAGTCATTATTACATGAAGAAACATTTACAAAGAGAACAATGACATTCAATAATGAATACGTAAATATAAAGCATTATAACACTATCCATTAACATATTTTTTTTCTTCAAATGTTTAAGATGACATCAAAGCAAAGTGATGCATCTAACCAATTAAATTCATTAATTGATTTGAATATACAGTAAGGATCTCCAATGATTAATTTGAGTATAATGTGTAGTTTCACATAAATTTGCATCTCACATTTTCTACGTTGAAATAGTAAACGTTTACCTTCGAAAATTTTAAATATCCTAATTCTCTGTAAAAATTCCGAACACATGTCAAGTTCTCATAATAAGAGTTTCCACTGTACTTAAATGTAAATGTGATATGAAAATGCATGCCTTGCTAAAGGTGACATTGGACCCTTCTTGTTGTTAAAGCCGCTCACCTGGTAATCAAGAATGGAAAAACCAAGGCCTCGTTCTCCCTTGGTGAGCTCAATGATCTGAGGCTCAGAACTCCACATAGCCAACCCTGTAAGAGGCTCCAGAGATCGAGATTTCATTTTGGAAAAGCTTGCGTCTGTTGCGGTTGCAGTTGTTGTTGTGGAAGCCAACGATCCATCCGATTTTGCTTTTACTAAACGATCAGTAGCTGGTATTAAGTTCTGCAAGCTTCCTCCCAATATGTTCTGCCACAAAGAATCAATGACTTGTAACAGTAACTTCCAATAATGAATTGTTACTTTTGTTCACTGGCTTCTCAAATCAAGAAATCACTATTTAATTAAACTACAGAAGATTTGCAACAGAAACGGAAAAAATGTTTTTCACATCCAAAAAATATTCTGGTCTCTTGAATTACCAGTGATGTTTCTTTGCACTCACCTGAAATATCTAATACGCATAATTCCTAAAATTATTTTGAAGGATTGTAAAAGCTTGATGACTGAGTGCTGAAGAACTTAAGAAATTAGTTTAAGAATACTTCTTTTAAATCACGTAACCATTTTAAAATTTATATACAGTGATTTGAAGATCACATGCACATTTATTTGAGTTATGTCAGTATAGAACTTTAGTGGAGGATAAAAAATTTAAAAAAATGAAATAAAATAAAAAGAAATCAAAAATCGAGCTACTCCTGAAGACCATTTACCAGTGCATTTGCTTCGTTTATTGAAGCTAGCAGGCTCATGCATTCATGTACAATTGCAAATCTAATTTTAAATCATTTCTAAGGTTTGAATACTATGTAATTGTGCAGACATGGATAATTTCATTACGTAAACCCTATGTATCAGTTTCAAAATGTTCTGATTTTATAAGATTGTCAAGATATAGTTACATAAATGATGAAAAGGAATCTCAATAATTAAATCCCAACAATAAATTCATAGAAACTATTCACATGACAATAAAAGTAGTAATGAAAAAGCTTATTGATTAGCCATGTCTCCAATCATTAACAATTTACAACAGCTCCATCAATAGTAATAACATTGTGTAGTTAACAATGTTTACTATAAACAAGAGATAGGAACACTGTACAAATCTATGTACACATAAGTATTAGAAGAGAGTGGAAAAATCTGTAATTTTGACTCTGTTGCAAGATATGATGTAAGAAATTTCTCTTCTTACCCTGGCTTGAAAAGCTGCTCTGTCCTGCGATGTGTCTATCAGTCGATATGGTGCAGTCTCCCCAGGTCTTCGGGCACATACCATCCTTACATTAACAGGTAAATCTTTCAAGATAGTTACCACTTCTATATGGTTCATACCTAATAAACGATGACCGTTCACCTGCACAGTAGAATACACAATGCTCAATTTCAATAAAAATATTTGAAATGCACTTCATTTACTCTCTTCAGTTAGATTTGTGTGTACTTATACTGTTAAGATTCTTACCTCGAGCAATTCATCTCCAGACCGCAACTTGCCATTTCTTCCCACAGGTCCTTCTGGAAGAATGGACCGGATGTAATGGTGTGGTCTCACTTCTTGGCCATCTTCCACATCCACAGTTCCCTCCAAACTAATGCCAAGGCCACCTCCCTCACCAAACTTGCATAACTGAGCAACCTGTTGAATGCAAATGAGGAAACAACTTCATCAATGCAAAGGTTATAAAATAATTTTGAAAAGACTTTAAGACTCCACACTTCAAATCGAGAGAATCATTAATTATTTTCATTAAAAAAATTAAGCATATAGTATTTTTGCAATTAATTAAAAAATTAAGCATATAGTAGTTCATTGCTGCATTGAGAATTATATTTTTTAGTATAGATTCTTTAAACAATAGTAGAAGTGTTATTATTTTCAAAATATATAGAATAAATTTTGCTTCAAACTGAAAATATTTCAAGCATTAGGTTTGTGACATTTTTGCTCACTTTTACACTGAATATTCTCAAAAGGTAGGCCAAAGTGGATGGCTATCACAGGATTTAATTTGCTCATTCTTATTACAGAATAAAAATAGACATATTTCCAACTAAAATACACTTTCCACAATTTATTATACATTTGTCATAATGGTAAATCTGCGACAGAACTACAGTAGAACTTCGCTAATCCGAACCGCATCAATCCGAAATTTCAGATAATCTCACTAAAATTGGAGATGGACGAAAAATAAATAAAATGCTTATTTGTAGTGTAAAGGAAGGATTTTATAATTACTGTAGAACTGAACAACTAATCATTGAAATACAAGTTGTCGAAATGAAACATTTATTACACTGGCGACTATGGTGTATATCACGTGTTTATGTAGCAGTAATTTTCACTTAGCAAAATCAGTCATCTTTTGCTGTAAGGAACTGAATCTGCTTGATGATGCAATGTAATAATCTGATGTTGTGATCGCTACACTACATTGCGATTTTCCCATATCGCATGCTACTCAGTATTGGTAATCCCAAAGATGTATATGTAAATTCATGGTACTTTTTTTGGACAGTATGAATCCGAACAGACCAAACCCTCAATTAGTTGTGATTACCGGGGTTCTATTGTACTTTACTTCTGATTTTACTTTTAGTAACAATTTACAATAGCTAATTTAGCATGTTTACTTTCTTTCTATTTTGTTTGTTTGTTTTTTTACATGAATAACAGAAATTGAATATTTTTCGCAAGAAATATATATTTCATAAATATATTGTTTCTTACCACTATTTCCACATCGGGGCCCATGATTTTTGCCCACTTAGCCTGAATTGCTGCCTCAACTGTAGGTTTTAGTTCTCCTATGTAGTTGGTATCAATGAGAAGTTCAACATCTTCAACCATCACTTCTGCATTTAGTGCTTCTGCAGGTTCTAAAACACTTGAATCTACAGTAGTGTGAGATTCAGGCTCTCCTTCAATTTCAGGTTCTTCTCCATCCTATATATAAAAAAATATTCGTAGTCTAGCAATTGGACACCTAACAAATGAAATTAATACATCAAAGAAGGAAACACAAAATTACTTACAGTACTAACAGGAAAACGAGGTAGGGAAGTGGCAGAAGTTGGTGAAGATGGTGTTGGAGGTTTCAATTCACTGTTGGCAATAGCTTGTTGGAGCTGTTCAAATTTGGGACCTCGCAAGTAGCGCTCTAGGCATAGTTTTACTGTTTGACCAGTGCCACGTAAAACCTCTACAGCCTGGTGGTTTGTGTATCCTTGAAGCGAACGTCCGTCCACCTGCGAGAACATACATTTATTTGAAAAGAAAAATTATGGATATAACAGAATATATAATGAAAGAAATTATAAAACACTTACTTCAACAATTCGATCATTTACTTGAATTTTTTTGCAGAGGTCAGCAGCACTTCCTTCACTAATACTTTTCACAAAAATTCCTGACAGCTCCTCTGCAATATGGAGACAATTGATAAGTAAATTACATTTGCTCTGTTCATATGTTTACTGCAAAAGACATAACACTAGTCAGGATGAAACATTTTAATGTTTTTTATATAAGAGTTAATATATTCAATCTTTTAAATGTTAAATTATTCATAAATGAAATCGATATTTACATGTTCAACTCAGGGCTTCTTTGTCAAGTCCAGGGAATTATAACTAAATCAAAATGTGGAATTCATATTTAAATCTCGAAACATAAAAATTATTCTCATCAATTATAAATGTTCTAGCAACAAAATAAAATTATAACAGTAATTTATAATTGACCTCATATGGCCAGTGTGAAGATAAGTGCATATATTAACATAGGTACTGTAATTATAAATAGACAACATCCTATGATAGAACAAAAAAAATTCACTTGCGAGATGAATTTTGTGGTTTTGCAGATCTCATAGTTTGCAGAATGATTTTCTTTTTTTAGAGCCACAATTTCTAGTTTACATACTCAGGAGATTTTCATCACCACATGAAAGAATATGAAATTGTACAACTATTGGTATGAACATGTAAAAATAGTATTTTCTGTCACACAGGAGGTTGCCTACCATCAATAACTACTATGGAAATTTGTCCAAATTGTTTAGGCTATAGAATGGAGGGAAAAAACCTGTGTTCATACAAGCTCTTCAATAGCATTACACTATTTTTTTCCTTTGGCCAGATAGAAGAAAAAAAAAGAAGAAGAGAGGGGGGAAAAAGGAAAGAAAAAACACCAAGAGAAGTCAACAAGAGATTTTTTCCAAAACAGGAACGAATAATGGACGAAAAAACCTAAATTTTTACACAATTTCTAACATAGATAACTTAGCAGAACTAAACTTTGTAACTAAAATGATGCTTCATTAATTCATTGCTATAAAAACAGAGAATAAATAAAGAAGGAAAGTAGGGTTAAATACATGACACAACTGTTTATACCTAATTCAGTTTTCTTTTATGCAATATGAACATTTTATTGCATTCTTTTTTATCAATTGAAATTAGTTATTAATATTTTTTTTAAAGATTCTTTCTCCTTTTTCAGATTTCATCTTTTAATAAATATTATAGTCCTTCACATTATAGAATAGGTCATAGTTAAATCTCAAGTACACATTTTCACAATCGAAGAAAGAAAATGAAGAAATACCAGACCTTTTTCACACACATAACCTGCAATGGTTATGCCAAGGCCATGATAATCTTTCTTCAGCTCGACGGTGAACTTTTCAGTTTCTGGCAGTGTTGTTTCAAGGGGCATCATATCCATGGTGAGCACAGGCAATGATGGAGTCCCTCCTAGCATAGGAGTAGGAGCAGCACCAACAGGGAGTGGATTCCTCACCACATCGACAACCATGTTTGGGTCCGGCTGAGAACAGGATTAGAATGCAAAAAAATTCATTTCACAGCAAACCTTGGGCACTAGTTTAGAAAACAATCAAAAAAACATATCACAAAATGTGTAGACATGGGAACCTACATGGAGATCCAAATCCTCTCCTTGCTGGTAGATGAAAGGATTATCATAGTTGTCCAAAGGAGTTTGAGTATTGAAGGCCTCTGGGTAACCATTTTGCAAGAGATGCCTATCCAGTTCATCAGGATCACCCAGAATTTTGGTTGGAACAATGGGTGCATGACTTCCCAGAGCCTGTAGAAGAACAGCAGGAAATTAAATCAAAATGGGCCATACACATACCTTAAGCACACATTAAAAAATAAAAAAACAATAATAAAAATAACAATATTAACATTAATTATAATAAAAAGATACCAAAGGACATGTTGATATCATTTAAGAAGTACCAAACCCAGATAGATTCCGAAATACAGGATATATTTTCAAGTATCACCGCCAATTTAAAGTGTTAATGCAATCGAGGATGTAAATTTAAAGAACTATGTATATAAATTTATGTAAGCAGGATGTAAAACAAAATATGAAAATAAAATTCACATCCAATTCCTACTTTTTTCCTCCCATGCAATTCACATGAAATTCATGCAAACTTTTCTTTATAGAGAGGAAGTGTTAAATACTGTAAAACCTGTGTAAGACGAAACTCGGCGGTACCTTCAAAAAATTTCCGTTTTGGCAAGTTTCCGTCTTGTAGAGGTCGTCAAAAATTAACAGTATAATTTACGACCTGTGTTTACAATATAATTTGTATGAAACAAAGTAATGAAAATATAGCGGTCGTGGAATCACGGTGTTGACGTTGTGAGACGTGTGTACCACGCAGGGAGATTACGGGGAGAAATTTCTTAATTTCAATTTTTAATGTAAACATTATGTGAAAAATAAAGTCGAAGTCCTCAGAACTTGAATGCATCTCATATAAGTTTTTGGGGCTGGTGTCGCCTAATTTATCATGTGATACCAGCATCCGATTACGATCGCAATTGGTATAACTATTTACAACAAGCTTTAACACCTTCGAACGTTCTAGGAATGTTTTTCGACATGAAAAAGAAAGTAGGAATTATGCTATAATATCTACGTGTGAATTTCATTATGATACATAATTGTAAATATTTATTCGTCATATATACAAGTACATATTTCTTGAATGTTCTTTTCTTATTCACATTGAATATTTTTGGCGTATTTCACATCTTCAGTTTGCCCGGCTGTTTAGTACGCTTAACGTCCATTAACCTTTCAATAACAAAAAATGCTTTTAATTAGTCAAATGATAACAGCGAAAATCATTCAAGAATCACATAAATCGAAGCACACATTCAAGAACTTGAAGAATGATTGCTCGTCGCTCCTCAGTCCACACGCATCTGATTGCCAAAGTCAGTGGTACCAATAAGCGATATTCGAGGCGAGTGTGAGCAAGACGAACTCGGCCGAGGGAAGCGTTAGATCAGAGTACTCCGGTGTGGTGCCTCAGAAATTCTTTCTTGCCCTGAAGTACCGTCAGCGTATAAGCAACTCTGGTAGTTCTCTCGCCACGTGCTGGGTTACGTTCTGTCACTTGCTCTGAAGCAATCACCTTGCGATGATTTGTTTACTTTCTTACAGCCAGGGTTCACTCATCTGAGTTACACGAAGTCGTGGAGACGATACGGCTCGGCTTTAGCGAAAGTAATGAATTAAGATGTTAAGACATGTCATAGTCTGTCAGTAAGTGTTAATGTTTTGAAATTTAATTTATCTGTGATATAAGTGGTGCAATGTGCGAAGTAATGTGTGGCAACAGCACACTGAACTGCCAGAGTCGCTTATACGCTGCCGGAACTGTAATAACGAATAAGTGGATAATACGCGTTGCTAAATATCAAAACAGATTCCTCTAACACATAGTGTAACCTGAATCCCTTCCATTAATGTTTGTGGAGTCCTTGATACCGAAAAATCGATTGACGGCTAAAGTCCGTTTGTGAACCGTCCGAAGGTATGGAATAGTTCAGATTTATACTACGTGACATCTTTAATAGCATGTTAACGGAACATAACCTAAAATATCATATCCCACTTTTTTTTTAAAAATTCAGGTTATTTAACGCATAATATTTTTGAATTATTCTTTTAGTTAGACTAAAATAATGTACGGGCAGGAGCGGATTTAGCCTGCTTGTTAAACCATATATTATAAAACTGTAACTATGTTATTATACCAACGTTACAATGTTATAGTAATGTGTATAATGTTTAACACAAAAAAGAAAAAGTTAGAAAGTATATTGTTTAACATACTTGTATTTTATTAAATTGAATTTGAAGATTGTCATGAAAGTTTTCTTATTTAAACTGGAGTTTCATTGTCATTCTTTGGACGTAAATCATATTTTATTTTATATTAAATAGGTAATATTGATAAACACAAAGGTTATTTCTTAAAGGATTATTTGAAATATTGTATGTAACGATTAAATGGAGCACTTTTTATGTAATACTAATTTTTGACAATAGTTATTTTACTGCAGAGTGTTCACGTTCATTTACCTATCATTTGTTTATTACAGTAAGTGAAACCTAAGACGGAACGTCTAAGACAGAAACCCGGCATCCCGGACGACAAGTCTTGGAACGGAACGATTTTATACGTGAAAATTACCTCTTTAAGCATATAACCTGTCTAACGCGGAAACGGAATGGTTTTCAGAGAGAGGGAAGTGATTATGACCTGGCTAAGAAGATAACATATTTTTAAATTGTTGCCAATCTCTTTGGAATGCCATAATGCAAAAGGTGACATCCTGAGACAATAGAGTGAAAGAGTTTTTCCTCTTATGTCTGCTGTCGAGAAATCAGGGACTGTTTTTGGCGAACTCGGTGACAGTTTTTCTGCGACATTCTCCCGCTTTGGTGTTATTTTGCAAGGTCGCAAAAACGCGACTTGGTCGCTATCGCTTCAAATTTTTAATGTTGGTCACCTGCATCCCGTTCAATTCTCAAAAGTGTTACCACTTTTCTTCAGTCGACAATGGAATTCCTGTAAGTCTGTCTTGTTATCCTATATTTTGTCCTTGCCTATGCCCTACATTTCCCCTGGGTTTGCTGTTGATTATTTTATTTTCTGCAATATTTTCATTGATTATTCTTCTATTTCATTGAGCTGATGCAATAGAGCTCGGCTGCAGTATATGCGACCAAGGAGAACGTTTTGCATCGTTGGAAATGACCAAAAATCGCTATGAGTCGGGTCAGTTGAGTAGGGATCTTGCGGAATCATTTCGAAGTTGTTATCACAAAGAAACTCCTGCGTCGCTCTCGCCTACAGTGCTGATGCGTTGTTTTGAAAGCTGAAAGGGCACACATGCAGCATGTTCGGGCAGTTTTTCTGGAAGTAATGCTGGAAGGAGCTTTTCTTCAAAACATCATGGTGGTTCGCACCTTTCACAGTTATGTGCTTTGGAAAACCAACGAGTAAGAAGTGCAGCATCACTGTCCCAAAACACGGCAACCATACTTTTTTCTAATGGCACTTACCCCAATTTGTTGGGTGGCGGTGAGGGTGTGCTGCTATTGACCTGACTGGTGCCTTGTTTCAGGATTGAAAAACGGCATCCATGTCTCATACACTGTCACAATTATTGAAAAGGAAGTTCACGTCCTGGCGTCGTCTCGTGACAACACGATCTTCTTTGAGCTTTCGTCCTCACGAACGCACACCAGTGGAGAGAGATCTCACACTTCGTTCAATGCCACTTTTATTACAAATTTGTGATAGCGGAGTGCTATATCTTCGAGATATGCTGAGATCGCCACTGCATCTGCGCAGGAATATTCGCAGCGACGCCCAAGTGCTCAATCTGTCCATAAGCCACCGTGGTCCCCACTCACTCCCCTTTTCTCGTTCCTCTTCTCGTTCGCATTTCCCGAGTGTGCTCCGGCGGGCTGTGCGACGGGCATTGGTGGGGGACTGTCAGTCGCAGCTTCCGAATGGTGCGCGTTTCGAAATACCTAGTTTCAGGAACACTCTCAGAGGACTTGCATTCCCCTCTTGTTTACAGACGTTTCAGAGAAATTGTACCGATTCAATTTGGGTGTGGACATGTGAATACGAGCCGCCACTGACAATGCCAAAACGCCACGAAATGGCCCCATTTCGTATGTGAAACTCCATTTAAATTCCAAAATGCACCTTTGGTTCTGCTCTCATTTGCCAGTTAAATGAGGGCCATGTGGTGAAGGGGAGGGGGAAAGCTATTTTTTATTATAACACACAAATTTTACTATAAATCAAGCCTGTAGTTCATCTACTACTCGTGAACATTTTTAGTTTTCCAATGTTGCTAAACACAATTGCTGGGACCTTCATTTATAATTCAAGTATATAGAGAAAAGAGTGTGGTCATCTGAACCTTTAAAAAATGGACACAAAAAGAACAGCCATGTGTTACAGATTTTACAGTTTTTTAATAACAAATAAATGAACAACCTGACAATGGAAGTGGTTATTCTGCACACCTGTCTTGCGATTTAAATACAGGGAGCACAACAATTTAACTTTTATTTTTTGAAGGTCACCGTAATCTAAATTTCTACAAATTCTTAAATTTAACATTCTGCGAAAACATTAAAAAGTTAAAAGTGTAAAAATTATGAAATAATATACATGTGCTTTGTAACACAAATCATGAATTTTTAACAGAATATCCTTTTAGGCCAAAAAGAACACACCATGAGTTACCAAAATTGTGAAGAATCAATTTTATACACGTATTAATAAATTATATATTCATATTTATTGCAATTCATCTTTCTACTTCAAAGGAATTTGATTCAAAAGAATAAATTACCCCCAAAAATTTATAACACTTCTCTTAATAGATTTTGATTGCTTAATCATGAATCAGATAGTTCCTATATTTCCTGTACGTGAGTAATTGTACCATCTTCCCCTACGCTTCCACAATTTATTATTACCTCATTACAAATTGAAATTTTATTAAAGCTTTCAGATTTTTTTTGTTAAAGTAATTTATAAAAAAATATTCGAATTCTGTAAATAACAAAAATGTTAAAGTGATTTGCTAACAGACACCGACTTTTCCACATTCTATTCTTTTACACAATTATTTACCTGATAGTCTGGTGAGGTAGGTTCAACAGGGCGAGCAACAACAAGGCGCACGTGACTGCCAGACTGACGCAGGACAGCAGCCACCTGCTCCGAGCCCATTCCTCGCAAATTGACTTCTCCGATCTGCAGGATGTGATCCCCACTCTGCAGTCGGTTGTCCTGCAACAGAGATGCATCAAACCTTAGCGTTCTCACCCCAAAAAGCTTTTCCTTTTTCATTACTCTTAGTTTATATGAAGTGGTCTCATGGGATCCAGACTTACCCTGTCTGCAACTCCTCCAGGAAGTATGGTCTTGACGACAACACCTGTACTGCGCCCACCAATGATACCAAAGCCCAAACCTGATCCATCGTTTATTAGGTCAATTATTTCCACTTGAGCCCATTCAGTATTTAGCTGAGGAAAGGAAATATATTATGCATTAAAAATACTTTAAATGAAACCATTGAAGATAAGATAGTATGGACTGGAATATTCTCTACGACACGAGATGAGTGAATTAAAATTGCCAATAATCCAAAGAAATTTTAGAATCAATCAATGACTGACTATTTATGGATTTCAAAACCATGACAAATAACCTGATTTTTTGTTTCTTTGTTATACAGAAACAATCAACAGGTTCAATTCTGAAAACTTTTACCTTAGAGGTTTCCAATACTGCATATACTGATATTCTTCATTATTAATGGCACTCTTTTCCCCTTCAATTAACACTACTTTTACTTCAAAAAAGGAAATTTCAAGACAAACTAGAGAGAATAAGTAACTCAAAGAAATCATCTTGCAGTTGTTAACCATAAAGGAACGTCAACATTAGTTTTGTGTTTTCTTTACAAACATCTTCCACAACAAGGATGCAAGATCCTTCCTTTTAAAAGATGATGTTCAGTTAAAAACATGCCTATTCCAAGAATACCATGGAAAATATCACACACACAGACACACACACACACAACAACAACAACAAAACTAAAATAGGTTGAGAGGTTCTCACCACCATGTCGGATCCAGCTTTGGAAGTATCGCTCACAGCTGAAGGAGAGCGGTCAATAGGAGACGGGGATGGAGGAGTGAGGGGGGTCTCGCCGAGGGGGTCCTCCTCAGTTCCAGAGCGAGCTACGACCAACTCCACCAGCCCTCGAGCCTTCTGCAAAATGCTGATGGCCTGCTGGTGGGAGATGTTGGAGTCAAGGGGTTGGCCATCGATGGCTAGGATTTGGTCTTCTTCACGTAAACGCCCATCTCTGGAAAGATAAGAGAAAAGAATTAAGCACTAGTAATGTGTTAAATGTTAAATACACTTTTCAATAATTTCTACGCTTAAGCCAACAAACATGACCAACAATCTTCGTAAATTATTGATTTTTTTTTCTTTCTAAAATGTGAATTTGACATATTCCTTTAGCGTTCAATGATATTTAATACAGTATTTTCATTCCTCCTGAAGTGTGTGGCTGGATGCTAGAAAAATGTCAGTTTTAGAAAGGTGTCCATGAAAGAAAGGCTGCCGTACTACACAGTACCATGAAAGGTTTATAATCCACACACTAAGAGATGATAAGAGTAACAGAAGAATTCCAAAACTCAATTTCTTGAAATTTACCCAATTGGGGAAGAAACAACAAAACAAGTCATTATAACGCCTCATTCTCTAGTACTGCGTGAAAACTAAGTTACAGAATTTACAATAGTCAGAAATGTACAAATCTGCTCATCTCTTCTTAAATTTTGTGTGAGAGAGAAACATTTACAGTTCAAGTCTCGTTTTTTGCCTGCGTTAGAGCACAATAGTACATGAAATTGAATTTGTTTCTATAATTAAGAGGTGAAAGGATACCAACAAGGCCGTTTTACGTCTGCAAACCTTATAAGTTTGCAGGATACTGGAAACACTAGTTCTTTATTATTGATATCATAAACTTCTCCTTAACTAAATGTATATGGGTCAGTAAAAGTTTCTACCTCTTCCAAAGAAAAAAATAGAAACGTTAACATCCTCTTTTCATTATTAATGGAAGGCAGAGCAGGGCAACTGAAGATTACATAAGAAAGAAAATGAATAGTTTTTCAAAATAGTTTTGTCTTCCCAGTTGAAATTAATCATTGTAGAATTCACGCGCATGATTATTCCTAATTACATTACAGTAATAAAAATCTGAGAGGTCGTTAATAGTTGACTTAACAGTACTACATATTTTTAACGTTTCATGATGCACAAGATCCTTAGTGACATCGCAAAACGGGAGTTTCTGAAGGATGAGACAGCAATCAAATCAATTTCAGAATCAGAAATTCAGACCCACGTAACTACATTAAACAATATTTGGTGAAACTACTCAATTTCGTCCTGTATGTCATTTCCAGTCATTCCGCCCTGTCTACTATGAATACTGGAAAGAGTTTGTTACATTTCTAATGAGTCCCTTCGAAGTCCCAAAATCTAGAATCTACGAAACGCAGATCTGTCAGATATTGGGACAACCGGCCTAACGAAAAAAAGCCCCACCCCCAAGCGAAAGACGGGGGCGGGGGCGTGGGCGGCGTTACGCAAGGCGCGGGGCGCCGCGCCGCGCCATGCCACGAGGCCCGCGCCCAGAGGGATCGATGCGAAGGGGGGCGGTCTGGGCCGGCGCCCGCCACCTGTCACGTGACCTCATTTGTATGCACGTGGCTCGAGAGACAGTAGTGGGTCCCCGTCGCCCGGAGAAACCGACGCGACGCCGCCGAGGCCACGGCGTCGACGGCCGGCGCGTGGGCGGGCGGGGCGCATCGACCCGAAGCCGGCGGGCTGGAGCGGCCAGGCCCCAGGCCTATTCATTAGGGGCGGCGCTGCCGAAGGGCGCGAGCGGAGGCTGCTGCCTGTCGGCGCCCAGGGAGAGCACGTGGCCGCGGCCCTCGCCCGCGATAATGAATTGTAGAATGAGGATCGGATTCCGATACAATTATACACAATCAGATACCTTAAAACATTCACATTAAATAGCCAATTTAATGTGGAATATACGTGGCTACAACGTTAATGTGGAATATAAGTGGCAACGAAAGTTGTAGCCACATGTATTCCACGTTAAATTGGCTATTTAATGTGAATGTTTAAGATATCTGATTGTAATTCTATAGAAGTCCGTTTCTCGCTCTAAAATATTAAGACAATCGTTAGGAGTAATAATTGATTATGAATTGTGGCAACACACCACGTTGCTCCAACAGAAACCTCTCATTCAGCAGTGTAAGCTATTCCACGTCTCAAGTTAATAAATTCCAATTTATGGGACGTTCCAATTTAACTCCAAACACCAAAGTTTCTACACGCGTGGAATCAAAAAACTACCCCAGAGTTAGCCGACTGTGTAAACTAAAGAAGGGGATATATTGCTATTGATTAACTTATCTGATATGTGTCCCTCTTAAGTGTAATATACTTACGACAAAACACTTTGGACTGATGCACCACTCAATACAAAATGTATTCGCCTAAAAATGTTGGAAATATACTGCTCACTTGCACCTGTCTTGCTCAAAGATGGCAATAAAGGCTGGCATCGACGCGAACTACTTTTTCACGATAAATGGGTTTAATAAATCACGCGAAACTGTTCAATGAAAGCAATAACACTCGAATTCACAAACATACATCAATAGGCTGCAAAACACGATCATCAGTCGTGGTTAAAAGCATTGTTCCATATGTTCCATAATGAACAGATCGATGATATTCCTTTCTCGGTAGATAAAGAAAACAGAAATATAATTACTGTTTAAATGTTGAGTTACCACGCAGATAAGAAGGTGATATCTTCCGTAATACTCGTACTTTTTCGCTATGAGGATAAGTTTATAGGTTCGCATCATATTGAGGTACAACTAATACAGAGGAGAGGCGTGCTCGTTGTTAGCTCATTTTAGATGAAAATAAAGAAATGCAAATTCCACCTGCACCCACAGAGGTGGCGTGGGGCGGCGGTGTACGATAAAGATCGCTCCCGAACAAGTTGCCGCACAAAACTCAAAGGGAGGCAGAAAAAGGTTCTTGGGTGTTTTACAGTTTGTAGTTAGAGCAAAAAAGTCAGAGGATAGAACGAGAGGAAGGAAAAGCAGTAGGCAGGGCTCTGCATGAATTGAGGGTGGGAATGACGGGATGTAATGTGGGATTGTGGCGGAGGGGTAAGGGACGGCCAGAGAGGCAGGGTGGGGCAGGGCGGCGAGAAAGGAGCGAGGGCAAGAGCAGAGGCAGGGTGAAGGCAGGGGTGGTTGGACACGGGGTGGCGGGTGGAGAAAGTGACGGAAGCAGGCGGTGGCGAGAGCAGCTAGACAACACTGAGTGAACTAAGACGCCAGGCAACATTGGGTGAACTAAGACATCCGACACTAAGGCAATATGATGTCTCGGATCTTCATAATCTTGTAATTCGTTTGGAAACTAACGGGCAGCAGTGAATGCTAGATGAAAGATTAGCAGCGATAAGGTATGTATGGTAATATGTCGAGTAAAAGCTAATGAAATTAATACATTTTTGTTTGCGTTATAATGCATCACTGAGATATTGCTGTACGAAATAAAAAGCTAACGGAATGACTTGAAGTTAAGGAATGATTAAGAATAACTTGCTACGACACTTGCTTACCAATAAGAAGTGCATAATGATCAAAAGTAAAGTCCCGCTTACGTAGGACAGGAGTTGACTCCCATTGTATTGAACGCCACATTGGAAAGTAGTACAATTATATGCCAGATTACACGGCGCAATCTTCATTTGGCCTCTCAGCCCAAACACCCAGCAGCAAAACTTTGTTTCAACACGCGAGCACTCTTCAAGTAACTTTCATAAACTTCCGCGCAACTGCTGTTTGTGACAGACCAAAAAAATTATACCTTTTGTTTCTTTCATGGGGCCGTTTCGTTGCCCTTTTCATTCCCTTCCTGGCCCTCACCCTCAGTCAATTTGTCGGACAAACCCGAGAACAGTGCACACACAGGTAGCAGCGATAACATCGATAATCAGGCGAACATCAAAGCAGCACAAGGAAGCTTTTCGCAGGATCGGCGAAGAGGCTCTTGGGGCTATTCAGCGCCGCGCGAGCAGTCGAACGGAGCAGGAGCGGGAGCGGGAGCAGACTTGGCGAACGAAGCAAACGAAGGGCCGGCCCTCGGCACGAACGCGAGCGCGGAGAACAAATAGAAGCGGGCGGAACGGGCACAATTGGCGCGTCAAACGAAGCGCGCGAAAAAGCTGCTGCATTTGCTCTCAAC